CTAACCTTGAACAGAAACAGGCTCAGGGATAGAACCCAGGCCCCAGGACTGACCAAAAAAAAGAAAGAAAAGAAAAGACCAAAATAAACTACAAAATGGCACAACCCCTATGGGAAACAACCCAGCAATTCATCAAAAAATGAACATGCAATGCCTATACAACCCAGTAGTCCCATTGGGAATGCAGTTACCATGAGAATTGCCCTCAAATGGAGCTAACTTGGATGCCCATCAGAAACAGGGAGATCTGGGGGCTCCTCAGCCCAGCCAGCCCTGCATCTAGAGCCAGTATTTCATCTGCTCACACCCCAGGCTTAAGATAGGCTGAAGCCCACTGTGAAGTCCAAGGGCTGATTGTCTCCACTTAGGCAGGTTGCCTTATTTGGACAAGATCCAGTCAGTTGGCTGCCTGTGATTGGTTGAAGCTTGGCTGCTTCTGATTGGCTTGATACTGGCTGTTGTGTGTTATAAAGAGATACATGGACAAATTTGAGCTTGTTCATGCACTAAGCTAGGTTGTGGCATTCTGTAGCTGCTCCAGCTCCTCGCGCTGGAAGTTGCAGGGTTATACAATTGAAGAAATGTGGGGTTTGGTTTTGCGTTTGGAATGACCATCATGACTTTTGTTTTTGCTTTGTCTTTCTCAGATGAAAATGAACTGGCAGTGTTAACACGGGAGAGTAATTTGTTCTATGGGAATCTGGGATTCCTGTCTACTCCCGCAGTCAAAGTAGGTACAAAGCAAAAGCACATCCAGACCCCCTTGGGAGGGAATAAGGGCATATTCTCACACTCCCGACCTACTACCTGAAGCTGGATGTCACGTTATTTAGTCATAAAAACGGGCGGGGCTGGGAATGTGGCTTAGTGGTAGAGTGCTTGCCTAGCACGCATGAAGCTGTGGGTTAGAATCCTCAATACCACATAAATAGAGAAGGCCAGAAGTGCCACTGTGGCTCAAGTGGTAGAGTGCTAGCTCTGAGCAAAAGAAGTTCAGGGACAGTGCCCAAACAAACAACAAAAGGGCAATAATCTGCCAGGTGCTGCTGGCTCAAGCCTGTAATACTAGCTTTTCAGAAGGCAGAGATCTGAAATCATGGTTTAAAAACAGACTAGCAAGCCGGGAGCCGGTGGCTCACACCTGTAATCCTAGCTACTCAGGAGGCTGAGATCTAAGGATCGAGGTTCACAGCCAGCCCAGGCAGGAAAGACCATGAGATCCTATCTCCAAAAAAAACACTAGAAGACTGGAAATAGCGCTGTGGCTCAAGTGGTAGAGTGCTCACCTTGAGCTGAAGAGCTGAAGGACAGTGCCCAGGCCCAGAGTTCAGGCCCCACGACAGATAAAAAACAAAAAAACAAAAAAAACAGACTGGCAGAAAAGTCTAAGAGAACATAACCTCTAGTTATCCAGCAAAAATGCTGGACTGGAGGTATGGCTCAAGTAATAACACACACACACACACACACAGAATTAGACACAAAGAGATTAACTCCATTACCAAGTAGTATGACTGAGAATGTAGCTTAATAGTGGAGAACTTGCCAAGCATGTCTGAGGCCCTGGATTTGATCCCTAGTAGCACATACTAATATATATATATATATATATATATATATATATATATATATAATTTTGCTGGGCACTGGTGGCTCACACCTGTCATCCTACTCAGGAGGCTGAGATCTGGAGATCATGGTTCAAACCCAGCCCTGGTAAGAAAGTCCATGAGACTCTTATCTCCAATAACCACCAGAAAACCAGAAGTGGTGCTGTGGCTCAAAGTGGTAGAGTGCTAGCCTTGAGGGGAAAAAAAAAATCTCAGGGACAGCACCCAAACCCTGAATTCAAGCTCCAAGACTGACAAAAAAAAAAATTATAGAATGAGTTACCTGGGCACTGTTGGTTTACACCTGTAACCTAGCTACTCAGGAGGCAGAGATCTGAGGACTGCAGTTCAAAGCCAGCTGGGGCAGGAAAGTCCGTGAGACTCTTATCAGAAATGGCACCGTAGCTCAAGTGGTAAAACGATGACCTTGAGCTAAAGAGCTGAGGGACGGTGCCCAGGCCCAGAGTTCAAGCCTCACGACCAACAAACAAACAAAAAAATAATAGAGTGAACTGATCTCAGAAGTTCTTCCATTCCCTCCCAGCTCGTAGACCAGTCCCTGTGGTCTCCGGAGGCAGCCTTGACATTCCATAGTTCAGGGATGCTGGAAATCCTGACCCCAGTTGTGGACACAGCATTCGCGGCTTTCGATTTCCAGAAGTGCTCTATGAACATGCAGGCCATTCTCATGGACCCCAGCCTCCACATTGAGAAGTGCAAGGTAGGCGGCCCTGTGACCTTGTAGACACCTGCAGAGAAACCACCCAGCCTGCCCCAGGCCGCACCACTGGAAGCCCAGGGGGAGAAAGCGCTTGCCTAGGACAGCCACGCACCAGCCACGGCACACCCTGTGCCCTCGGAAGCGGAGACTCACAGCTAGGTCTAGCAGCCCTGTCACCTGGGGCCTTCCCCTGCGGGCTCCATGACCCTGATACCAGAAAGGAATTCACCCTTCCTTCCCTCCCACCTTCCTTCCTTCCTTCCATGTCCTTGGAACCAGGGCATTGCTCAGGTTGGGACATGCTTTGTGCCCGTGGGTTCATGCAGTAGATACTCAGACCCAGGGTGATGGTGAGAGGAGGTGGCCCTTGTAAAAGTGGAAGGTGGTCAGATCCTGGGATGTCCATCTTGGAAGGGATTGCCACTTCTCTCTCTCTCTTTATCTGGGGAGCCCCATGGGCTTGACCCCATGTGGTCAGCTCCTGCTCCATTCTCCCATGTTGAGATGCAGTCCAGAAGTCCTCATCCGCCTGCCACTAGAACCATGACCCAAACAAACCCCTTTATTTTATCAATCACTTGGCCTCCAGTACTTCATTATAGCAGCGGAGGACAAGGCAAAATGTCAACCAATACAGCCGGTTACTGACAGCTCATGCCTATAATCTTAGCCATTTAGGAGGCTCAGATGTGAGAATCATGGTTCAAAGCTAGCCTGGACAATAAAGCCCATGAGACTCTTATCTCCAATTAACTTGAGCTCTGGCTCAAGTGGTAGAGAACCAGCCTTGAGCAAAAAAAAAAAAGCTCAGGGACAGTTCCTAGGCTCTGAGTTCAAGCCCAGGACTGACAATTAAAAAAAAAAAAGTGAAACAACCCTTTTAGTTCTGTAAGCGGTTGGTGATGGCTCCACACTAGCTTTCCTCCCTAAAGTTTTAGAGAGGGTTATTTAGCTCAAAATACCCACCAAGGCATCAGGATCCCTCTGACGCTAAACTAACTTAGTAAAGAGTAAAAAAAAATCTTGCCAGGCCTAGGGCTTGAACTCAGAGCCTGGGCACTGTCCCTGAGCTGCTTTTTGCTCAAGACTAGCACTCTACCACCACTTGAGCCACAGCACCACTTCCAGTTTTCTGGTGGT